TCTCTTTCCTTCTCTCTCCTCCTCTCTCTCTCTCTCTCCCCCTGAAACGTGCCACGTGCAAGCTCCTTTAACAAACAATGCACCTTTACCACTGCTGCATCAGTGAAGCAGAACCGCTATGCGCGTTGATGTAAAGTGCGCTGCGCGATGTGCACGTGATGAGGGCGTATTCTACATCTCCAACGCCGCCACCACCACCACCACAAATGTTCCTTAATGTCAACAACATCAATAACTACAATCAGTTTGTCCTTCTATCTCCCTTACAATAATGAATTGCTAATTGATGCAATTAAAACGTAGCGTAACCATACAAACACACGACATTTGCATTCTTAACAATACGTTTTCCACGTAAGTATTATAGTACGTGTAATTATGGTATTGACACTTTGTACGCAGTTGTGTTAAAAGGGAAATGCTATATGTGGAGAAGACATTTGAACTAGATTTATAGGTTGAAAAAAAGTATGGATCCGAAAGTACCATCAAATAGTTAACAGTTTTCAGTTACTTCCCTTCCTCCCCTCCTTTTCATCGCCCACCTTCCTCATTAAGTAAAAGGTACCTGTAAAGAGAATCCTTTACTCTATACCATGCCAACAAAAGCCATGACCTCCCTGACTTATGCAATAACGTAAATACTACATCAACACAACCGCTCCACCTTTGACCCTTGAATGATAACTATCAATAACACGGCCTCTAGCAACCTTTGACCCGTGAATGATCGGTTGTCTCTCACCCTACCCTTTCACATTTCCAACACCATTGCGCTGTCTCGTCTACTCTCGCATTCACAACATTTTTCAACAGTCACTCTGACATCCTGCCACTTCTTTGAAATCGTTCATTTTTCTATTTACCTTCTTTATCGTATAATATTTCTTTGAATATTTCGCATCCTCCTTGCAACATATGTTTATGCAAAATAACTAATAAATTTGCTATGAATTATTGAAATTGTTTCGGATAATCCGAATTTCTTGATGAAAATGCGTGGGTGATTTGATGATGGAGGTAAGATGTGTAAAGAAGCAGAGGGATTTAGTACCAATAACAATTACATTCTTAATTTTTTGGATATGAAAATCTGGAAGGTAATACAAATTATAGAGTTATACCGCGGTAAACCAAATGCGGGGGTTGAGCTACGTTACCAGAAGGTTTGGGTATAAATTATCCATGTGAACAACCTGAATAATACACTGTGCTCCTAATCGATTGATAGCATAAAAACTATGGAAAATCTTAAAAAGAAAAAAACGTGCAAAGAGATAATTTCGGAGCAAGCAACAAGCAGCCGGATTATTAAATTTACTTTCCGGAATGCCTTAACCGTCAGCTGTAAAATTGAAAGTGAACCACGAAAGGTCAATTCAATCATCTCTATTATATGATTAGGAATATGCAAAAGAGGAGGTGTCAAAGTTTGCTATGCAAAGGATACTTTGTGTATAGCATGAGCGGCACAAAGTATTGACAGGATCAGGAATTCCTGAAATGTTGATGAGCGTTCAACATAAAGTTGCTCCTCTTTTCTTGGTTTTTGCCACATATGACTTGGTTACGATAGATCTGTTGATAACAAAAGAAAAAAAAAACTGTAAAATGGTAAATTGATTACCAGCGGTTTGTTTCGTCATGTTTGGGGTTCTTTCATTATGGGGATGAATTTCAGGTTTTGAATGTTGGGATTTTATCATTTCCTGATGAGCGATTAGCTTGCGACATCGAAAACTTGATGAAATTATAAAAAATTAGGCTTCGTTGTTTGGAATTATTTCAATTTTCGATTCAAATAATGGTTTGTTTACGTTTTTTCTTCTTCGGTATTTCCTCTAACTAACTTTTGTCAAATATTTTCTTCCAAATCAAAGTTGCTTTTTTTTTTAGTTGGTCCTTGTTATCGGTGACTTTCATATACCACATCGAAGTCATAATATACCAGCAAAATTTCGTAAATTATTGGTACCAAACAAAATGCAACATGTTTTATGTACTGGTAATTTGTGCACACGTGAAACGTTCGATTACCTGAAATCTTTGGCATCTGATGTACATGTAGTGAGTTTAAGACTTTACTAACTGCTTTTCTTTTCCTTTCAAAATTCTTTTTTCTTTCTTTGCAAACCGTTTTCCTTGTATCTGTTTATTTCATTACTGATACTGGAAAAATCACAGTCGAAATTAAGAGCAAAGTAATTGTTAATTGGATGATCATCTTAGATGTGAAACTGCATTATCCACGAGAGAAATACTACATTGAACGTCTAATGCAATACTTAATGGGAATCGATTCGTGTGATGTTATTTTAGGTTCGTGGTGATTTCGACGATGTTATAACGAATTACCCAGATACTAAAGTTATTTCAGTTGGGCAGTTCCGAATTGGCTTATGTCACGGTCATCAAATTGTACCCTGGGGTGACAAAAAGGTAACGTATTTCACCAACTTATTTTTACTTTTTTTTTTCTAGAATGCTTGAAAAAACGAAAGGTCTTATGGAAGCAGATATCATTTTTAGAGGCTAGAAATGTTAGCACGGCAAATGGATGTGGATGTTTTGATAACTGGACATATACATGAGTGTCAAACATTTCAACATGAGGGACGCTTTTACGTAAATCCTGGCTCTGCAACCGGAGCTTTCTCACCCATACAAAGGTAATATTGAATAATTTGATATATCCTTAGCGTCTGAATAAATTCCGAACGATATATAATACCGCAGAAATTCAAATAATATGGTTCAATTACACACTAACCATTCTTTGTCTTAATCATCTAAGTTTTAATAAAATTAGTCTTTTAGGGATGTCATACCGTCATTTGCATTACTGGACGTGCAAATAGGAACACTGATTACATATCTCTATCGATTAATTGATGATCAGGTAAAAGTGGAACGTGTTCAGTTTTCCAAATCTACAACTGGTTGAATAACTTATTTACATCTGGACGGTACAGTGATCGTTTTTTATTTACGCTGTTTTCTTCTATAATTTCTGGTGCTGAATACTGAACGCATCATGAAGTCATATGGTTTAAACGAATTCTCTATGCTTCATAATGGTTTTTTAATTTTCAATATGTTTTCCTTCCGGATCACCGTTTTATTTAAATCAAATATTGAACTAAATCGAACGAAGGGGAAAAAGTGAATAAAAGTAACCGTTGTATTTTTTTTATCTGCTTTTGTTGACGATTCAGGGTTTGAAAAATGAGGAGTAATTTTGCTCTTAAGTCTGTTCATATTGTCATTTGATTTTAGAAATAATAGAAAGCACTGTTACATATCTTCCCGTTCCCATCCCGCATTCCTTGTCTTTACCGGGAAATAAGGCATCGAATAACCTCAGATTCTATTAGCCGTGCAGAAAGAAATCCTAGCATTTATAAGCTCGATTAATCCTATTAATATCACTTAATGAAAAATCAGCACTTTTACCCATCAATGGGGTAACTGCTTGAATTCTCGCTTCCATTGTGTTTTTGCCGTTACGACTGCCTTCCGTTGATTCGTAATGCATGATAGAGGAGTAATCGTAACTTTCACCGTAATCCGATAGCTTTACTGAAGTTAGCTTTTCGAAGTCGGTGCTAGCACCTAAAAAAAGGGAAAGGGACAATTTCATTTAGCAAAATTTTTGTAAGATTTTTTAAAATTTTGAATATTTTTGCATGTACATCAAAAATCACATGTTTTGAATTACAGGCTGACGAATAGGTTCAGCTTTCATCTGTATATCCTACGTAACTGAATTTCAAAACTGCAAAACGTATAGATTTCTTGTTGCGGGCAAGATATTTTCATGGGTTCAGCTGAAGTATAAGCCTCTTCTTCACCTTAATACAGAGAATGCCTTTTATGATGGTAGTGGTTTTCCCATTTTTTTTTCCTTTAGTCACATAACTGAGCCACCAAACGACTGTCGCTAATTATCAGGTGCTTTACAGATTGGTGAAAAATGTTTATCTTTCGAAAAATTTGTTGGCGAGAGCGATATCGCACACACCTGTACATGGAAAAATGTTTACGAAGACTAGAAAGATTAAAACAGTGATTCACCAAAATTTTAATAGGTTGAGGAAATGAAAATCTTAGAAAGAATCAGAGGCTAATTTCGATAACGATTATGTTATGGAAAGACTTACCAGGTATAATATTTTGCCACAAAATATTAACGAAGTAATCGCGATCATTGCGTTGATGCTCATGGATGAAACCGATCACATGCATCAATTCATGAATTACCGTTGCATAATTTAGACATTCATCAGAGAGCGATACATATTGTGGACCTCCCCCAACATGAGCAAAATCAGCAAAACATCTGCAATATCAGGGATTAACTTTGGTTACTGTATGATTGGAAGAACCAGCAAATGAGAAAATTACAGATAGCTAATAGATCGTAGGGATACGCAGCAAATATTCATTAGGATCATTTAGTATATCCTATCATTGAATGTGTACCAGAGAAAAAGGTGTTCATGATGTCAACATGATGTCATGATGTTTATGATGTTCAAACTTCGCATTTCAATTCACGTATTTGATTAGTTTGTCAATTGATGATTCAAAAAAACGGAAAACTGATTTTGGCAATTTAATATTAGAGGGGAGAATAAATTTATTTTATACCCGTCAGTTTTGGAGATAATAATATAATCTGTATCGAATAACTGTCGAGGGATGAAACGAATACACGTTCGTGCAGCGTAAGCGGCTATTGCACGAGCAATTATAGCACGTTGATAGAGAGCTGTAAATTCAACATTCAATAAATTGAATTTTTTTCCTTCTTTTTTTTCTTTTTGCTGTTACTATTACTTATTTGATAATATGGATTTTACAAATCTATTTTATCTTTTCTTGTATCTTTGGAAGATGGAGTAATTCAAGTTTAACAATTCCTAAATTTGAGCTTTTTTTATTTCTAAAATTAGAAATACCTTGTCACATAGCCATATTATCCCTTATAACATTTTTTATATCCTTTTCAAAGGATATAAAAATAAATGATTGATATCTTTAACATTTCAAATGGGAAGCGGTACTTTCGAGGTAGGAAGTTAGAGAGTTTTTAGTGATATGATGATCAAGTGATTTGATGACCTTTTAGTGATAGGATGATTAACATATCACTTGACAATGGTAAAAATTGATAAGCTTACTATAATCGGAAGAAATAACATATGGAATACGTCCATTTGGCCATTTATCATTTTCCAAAATCACTGCTGAGCCTCGTTTTTTCCGCTAAAAAATTGTGAAGTTTAGGAGAAAGAAGCTACTACCATATTGTTTATTTATCTTATTTGTTAATATCTTTCAAATACATATATAAGATCAATAATCTCAGTGTTGCACTCCAACATATTTAAAAATTCCACAAACCTTTTTTGTAAAATGTTGGTCATTAGCGGAAATTCGAAGTGGTTCATTGATATTGACAAAATTTGCATTAAAAAAATCTACTGGATTCAAAAATTGATACTCATATGCTAGTGCAACTGAAATAAATGGTAACAATGACAATGTTATGGATGGTACCATAAGGAGTGAAATCCTGGATAAGGAATATATTTTAGTTTTTCAGGATGATTATTAATAGTGGGAAAGTAATGATAATTACGGCAGTGATAATGATGATAGTATTGATGTGATTGTTATTACAGAGATAGTAACAAAATACTGAAGGGAATAATATACGTATAACAATTCCATATGCATGTTATAAGCTATTCAGGCTTTATTTACTAGTCTAGTTCAATCTAGACAACTCTCAGATAAACAAACATACATATATCTTTCTCTTTTCTTTTTTATTTCCAAACCGGTTTTTTTTTCTTTTACACTTCGATATATTCATGACAATATCAAACAAACAACAATACATAACCAGAAACTTCTTATCCAACAGGATATTTTAACCAATAATATTTAGTTATATAAACAATTTTGTACGATCCAAATAGTAATATAACAAGTCTTTTTTTTTCACTGAAATTTGTGACAATGTGACAATCCCATGCATTTTTATATAATCTGAGATGAAGCGCATATATCCAGATTATTATGGAAAAACACAAGTGTATTTGTATTGGCAAAAAAAGTAATTTCGCAGTAATTTTGCAATTTTTACTTTAATCAAATATCCTAAGCATTTTTTTTTCCTCTTTCTTTTATTCATTATTAATAGAGATGGATATGAAAGTAACTTGTTTTTTAATTCTGTACAAGCCCTTATTTCAAAATGTCATGTAAATAAAAGAACCTAAATTTTATATTTATTAGATAATTATGGAAGAAAATTCCGGAACAAATAAGAACAAAGTTATAGCAAATTCATGGAAGTAAACGAAAAATGTTGCATATTATAAAGTACTGTGTGCAAGAAACATGCTTACAAACAGTGTATAAATAGGCTAAAATTGCATATGTATATATATACATATATATATATCATAATGAGATTAATAATCTGGAAGCATCTTTTAACTTCTCCACGAACCACTTTATTTTTCCCTTTTCTCTTTTTCAGTTTCCTGTTCTCACTACATTTCTTTACTTTTTCGTTTAGGAATACCGGTGTTGACTATATTTCGTGTAGGAGAGAGAGAGAGAGAGAAAAAAAAAAAGACATATATTGATCTAATTTCTACGAATTTCTTACAATATTTAAACAGCAAATCAAAAGCAACATTATTTGTTAAGTGTAATATATTTTGACGCAACGTTCGACTTATAAATCTGAATCATCCAGAAAAACTTTACCGACATTCAAGATTTTTGGCATAAATACTTTGGTTAATGCAAATTGCGTCTTTCTTCTTGAATCACTAACTCCTACCATTGTTGACTTTAAAATACTAGGACATTTGTGCTCAATAATAATATATGGATCTGGTGCATTAAATGGACCAAAATCGGATCCACATCCGGAAATCATAAATGAACCATCAGACTTGGACCAAGTTCGACCCATCTGATCGTGGGTCTCCCATGGCAGTGCTGCAAAAATAGTCACATAAAATTATCGTGCTATTTGTAGTAAAATTAATTGGTTAATTAATGTTGTTTCGATTTTAATCAATAAATATCTTAATTTTCTAATAAATGAGGAGACATCCAACTTCTGAAAATCCGAGACATCCATTATTTCTAGTTCAAACTTTTGAGACGTAATAAAGTAAAAAACAGTTAAGGATACTATGCGGCAAAGGTAAGCAGAAGATGAGGAATAAAGTTACTTACTAAAACATCCACTAACTATCCGGACTACAAAGGTTAAAAATATTAGCCATCTTATGACGGCCAAATAAGTAATCCTAATGTTCCTTGAGTTAATTGTTGCCTTCAATTTCTACTACTTTACAGGAAAGTTAGCACGACTAATAGATCGACATTATTAATACCTAAGTACTGACTATAATTTCCTCGAGAAAAGTCTCTTCATAACGGTCCATAACCTATTCTTTTTATGTCTAATGCAGTAGGCACTTATAATTAAGCATTTAATTATGAAATAAACATACTGCGACCGAAAATCTTACAATCTTCATCCTTCAAATCAATCTGTACATTTCCTGCCAACATAGGTTCTTGCGGACAAATAAGAGTACCAACAATTTGCATGCATTCCGATTTACCATAAATTCTTAATGACAAAAGAACAAGTAGAAATAATGCCACTACCTGACGATCCATTACTTCATATGGAGTGACTTTAATAAAATTTCAATAAATATCTTAATCTTTTGATAAATGAGGAAATATTTCACTCCTGAAAATTTGAGACATCCATTATTGCAGGTTTGCTTATGCCAAAAAGAAAATATGATTAATGAAAATCACTATAACATTAAAACTACTGCCTGTTCTTTTTTCTTTTTACTTTTTACCTCACAAAATCAATTTTCCCGATTTAATTAATAGATAATTTGAATAAAAGGATAGCAAAAGGATAGAAATACACTCCATAAGCTACTCTTCGAAAGTTCAGATTTACATCTTACGAAGCATATAATGATAATGAACTCAATTATCGAACTGATTTCAACGAACGGTCTGATAACAGCTGATGTACTTTCGAAATACGCTGTGATAAATAACAGGACGATTACAGTCTATTTAAAACGATGATCTATGGTGGCGAATCAGGATTTTCTTAGCACCAATGAATATAATTAAGAGTGCCACGTAAATTTGTCTCAAACAGATAGGTGCCTAATGTAAATGAACTCATAATCAAACTTTCAATGATAAAGTCAAATTTTATTCAATCTTCACCGTGTATTCACTGACTTTTAGCAATACCAAATTCACTGAAGTAACAAATTGTTAATTATGAAATTACAATAAAATATAAATAAGCTTAGCTAAACTAACAAAACTGACTGCAGCACTCTCCGATCATTAGCGCAACAACTAATTTCCCATATATAATAGCTGCGCTCCAAACATTTAACGCTGCCATACAAATTTTATTTAAAGCTCAAGTTTATGACTTAAATAAATCCACTATGCTACAAACATTGAATTAGCTCAAAATAAAAATTAAAAAAATCTGTAATCTGAAAGACATTAATGATAATATCTCTCTCCTGAAGAATATTGGACGAAAACCGCATGGTAATCGTTACATTCTTCGATCACATGAAATGCCACTTTTAAAAAGAAAATTAGCCCAATATAAATATTTATGAAGATTACGAAGATTTCTGCTAATCATTATTAGCCTAGCAAGTTATTCACTAAATATGGAGATTTTGAAACCACTTACAAAACATTAAAATATACACAGATATAGGAAGAGTCATAACGTAGTGCAATGAAAAATATCATAGGATACAAAATTTCAAATTCCACTTAAAGGAAAATTCTCGCTTTGATTAATTACCGTATTACAGTGCCAAAACACAATCATTATGATGTTTTCGAATTTTGTATAAAATCCTCTTTTCTTTCATTCTTCTTTCACCGACAAAAGCGCACAATGTAATCGCGTACTTTCGCAATGTATGCTTCCTGAAATAAGCTTTTAGTTTAGTAAAGAAAAACGATGTAATTTTAAGATGCAAATAAGATTGAACCTAAGACACTAAAAAAGAAACCTTTAATTAAATAAATGAAAATCACTTCCTTATGTGGTTGGGATCTTCTATCAAATGAAATCCAATATGATTTCATTATAACATTTAGATTTATAATTTACAAGATATAATGTTAAGCAACAGAAATTTTTACAATGGAATTGGACAAATTTGTATGTTCATATCAAATGTTATTTACTTTTTTCAACCTAGTAAGCTGGAGTGATAAAAACTCCCAGTCTTTACAGGCTGATATTTCCAGACCGAAAGCCAGAAAGAAGAAGTTTCTTTGGATTGTCTTGTTATTTCCATTTATTGTTTGTAAGGAGCAGAATATATAATGAAGAATGTAGGAGTAATACAAAACAAAGTGAAATATACAACATGGTGGAATTAAAAAAGAAAGCTCGAATTCTGCCAGGTGAATTCCGATCGAATCGGCAGCAGCATTATGCTTAAGACCGAATTAATTACTATAGACTTTGAAAACGTGCTAATCATACAAGCGAACCAGGATTTGGTCCGATTTTAACAGCTTGAAATTTAATGGTCTTTTCTTTAGGAAACAAGAATATTACTTTTATATTTTATTGAATTTCAAAGATGAAATTATGAAAATGACATTATAAAAATGGAACCACCTTGTTCGTAGACCACTGCTGGGCTGCTGCTGCATTGAGAGCATCATCAAAATCGATCAGATCAGTGAAAAGACTATCCAAGCCAAGTACAACGTCGATCAATCTACGAGTTGGCATCCATCCTGTAATCAAGAGAAGAAAAAAAAAAAAAACTAGAGAATCAAGCATACTTCTGCAGTTTTTCGCTCCCAGGACAATCTTTTCAGTTAAATATAAAGGCAAAAATCAGGAACAAATTATCATGCCCTAATTTTTACTGATTGGATGATAGTATATCACAGAACAATAATTTTTTGTCATCGATTACCAAGTTATATACTTTTATGTTTACGTCAGAAGATACATACCATAACCATCAAGACTATTTTGTCGCAATAATGACAAGCATATGGAGCCTTCCTCAGTTATGTTTGGGTGCCACACACGCGTTAAACACTTTACCACGGGTGGTACATTATTATATTCGGGTGGCACTGCTATAGTAAATTTGAATATTCCACCCTGAAATTATGTTTAAGTGTTTTAGTATATCTAACTAAACACGCAATTAAAGAAAGAGGTTCATTAAAAATCTAACAATTCCGCCAAATAGTTCAGTAAAATGTCCACTAATAAAATCACTTTTTTGTTCATAAATGAAAAGTTTTACTCCATGTCACGTACAAAAATTCTACCTCGTCTTTACAGCTGACAATTGAAACTATGAAAAACATCGCCAACTTTCAGACACCGTATATTACTTGATACCATATCACTTTAAACCAGAAACAACATACTTTATAAATTCCTTCAACTGGTGAAACGGTGAGTTCCATATTATGTAATGCAGATGTTGATGGGAAATGCAACTTACACGAAGGCACTTTTTAAGACTTGATTCAAGCTCCTTTATTTCTGAAATTCTTACAACAAAATTATTAACAAAGATTAAAAATGAAGTATTCATCTATTAGTTTAATAACAACTGCTTGATAAGACTATCATGTCCGTCATCAGAGTAACATAGTTCTGGAGCATTGTCTACAATCAGGCTAAAGCTGTAAATCAACTAAGTCATTTATGCTAAACCAACACAAGGATATATATTGATGTAATAACTGGTAATGAGCCCCGTAAAACTAAAACAATGTACATCTTTTCAAGTATTCACCTATTCATTACGTATAGATCAGCTAACATGGATTTTTTTTTTTTTTTTTGAATTAGATAAAATATGCTCGCCGATGCGACTATACACACACACATATATACACACACACACACTGCCGTAAGCATTTACTATATTTTTAGATAAACTGAAATATGAGCGTTATCAGATAAAAAAACACAAACCTTGCGACAATAATTTATCTCGAATCGATATGCGTGTGCCCAAATATGTTTTCTCCTCATCTACACCACTGATCCGTTTTTGAAGGTTCAACATTGTACTGATTACCTGTAAAAGAACGGTGTAAAGATGATAACTAATTCATGATTCGTTTTCTATTACCAAATCCGGGTAATATCCGAAAAAAAAAAAAAAAAAACAAATATCTACTAGACCAAGACCAAAGAATTGATTCTTATCTTACAGTCATTTCAACTTTACTAATGATAATCATACCTATGTTTATTATAATTTTAACATAAAATCTGCATATACGATAATACCAACCAGTGAAAAAAGAAAAAAGAGAAGTTAGATGAAGTATCAAACTAATATGAAAAATTACATCTTAACTCGTAATTAGTTTATCAAGTTAGTTAAACTTTATGATGAGTAAATTTATGATATATAGAAGATAATTTTTACTCATGTTTATCACGTATAACGCATTTGTTCATATAGACTATATGTAACGTACGATATATTACGGATGACGTAAACACTGAAATGGTAAAAAATGCAAATACCACTTGATGTCAATTCTTATCCCGTCATTTGTCACCAGGCAACCCGCATTCGCACTTCCATGAATGATTAAGACGGGAACTTATCTGATACTGCCACCAGTAATGAAGTACAACTTCCCTTTACTTCCTCACTCTTAATCTCTACCGTCTCTTCAAAACTTTCACCTCTCTTACTTACAATTCCTACCATCTTTTTTTTTTTTTTCACGAATAATTCGAAATATTCACAAAATCTATCAATCCTCTCAAACTTCAATATTAATCCTTAAATTCCATACTATTTTCTTATGCTTAATTCTTGAACATCCTATTTTCAAATTTTCTCTATCTTTAACTCTCCTCATCGTCCTTTAATTTTGCATACTATCTCAGCAAAAATAATCATTTTATAGCAAAACGGAACAAGCGACCAAAGAACAGTCGGTGTGACTTTTTTTTTACCGGTTTCTTTGGTGTTTCCCAATGACCTGTTTGAGTGTTTCGGTATCCTATACTTCGCTAATTTTACCTTTCTATTTCTCTTTCAGAATACGTCGAATGATTCCAATTCCACTTTCCGGAAAATGAATACGAATACCAATTTTAAAGTTGAATTTTTTATCGATGAAACAGACAAGAGAGTCGCAAAATTAGCTAAAAGTTTTCGTAGGACTCGAGCATTGGATGAAATACGACCGAGATGGAGCAAAATACGCTTAGGAATCAAAAGGGTTAATCTGTTGATATTATCACTAGGACTCCAAGATAGGCGGATTTTTAAGATAAAAGCGCAGTTTATCAGACTGGTATTAGAAAGCTGAGTACACAAAAACACTTTATGGTATCTGAGAAGAGAGAAAAGTTAATTATGTGCAAAATCGATTCTTGAAATGGGTATTTTAAAAGTTGACATTCTTTTTATAACAAACTTGTGAAATTAAAGGATGATTGTATCGTTCATTTTTTTTCAGTTCGTTCGAGATCAACGTCGAAAAGCACAGAAAAGGAAAAGTACATGGATGGATCGAACAAATACTCCAGTGAATCATGGCGTGAACAAACAATCGAAATAAGTTGATAAAAAGAATGACACTATAGTTGCACAGTTGCATGATATGCTGTGGGAATTTCATATCTTTCCTTTTCAGTTGCGACTCAAATGTTTGTCTAGGATAAGATAACCATCATCATCATCTCCATAAAAAAAAAGATTCAGTCAAGAACCTGGCATAAGCTTTAGATGCATACATTAACGGAAGTAATCATTTTCAAATTTATTTGTCTCAATCTTGATTTCTTTCGAGAGAAAAGCAACTGTATGTTGGAGCATTTTTGAATCGTATACTTTTTAAAGATTGTCATAAATACATATTTATATTTGCTAGTAATAAAACGAGAAACAAATTTCAGATGTAGGCTTGACATTTTTCTATGCTACATACAATAGAAGTAACACAAAGAGAGGTATTAACACAAAAAACTGTGCTGAAAATTCTCCAAGATCAAACGTATCTAAGAAATAAAGTAATTCTGCTAGACATGTTATTTCGGATGGACATCGAAAGCGACCTTCACTATTCTCATATCTGCAAAAATGCTAATGATTGGAGGGAAATCGACTTAATATTCATTCTTTACTTATAAACTTCACTTATTAGATATAGTTTATAATCAGTTTTAAAATTATAGCAGTTTTTCAAAAGTTTTACATTGAAACGCTGGGATGGATTTTATGATGTGCTGAAAATGAAGCTGGGATGTATTTCTTACATCTTCATTTTCATATCAGGTCTCTCTGGATATTTTCCTTATATTAACTTTAGTATTTTCATTTTAAATGTATTTATTACTTCGACATTTTCATTCTGTCCAACAATCGTTGCGTAACTTCCTGGAACGATATTTTTGTTGTCAAAATGCAGTAGCTTTCGCGACACTTGTTCGGAGATGGTAGAAATCTAAAAATTTCACAAAGATAGTGCCTTCAAATAGAGGATTACCTTTAAAGTAAGAGCTTGAAATTTGTTTATTACTACTCACGCGATAGAGGTAAATGGTGAATATAGCAAACAAGATGAAACCATTAAGCAGTTTGGTTAAAGAGAAAGGATCAGCTGAACACTGAAGAATAACTGTTGAATAGCTTGTACAAAGGGAAATAAAGGTCATAGTCATAGCAATGACAAGAAGCAGCTGGATTAAAGGAGGGAAAAAAAAGGTGTAAGAAGGAGCAGCAATCGATATTCGAGCAAGCTTTCATCGAGTTTACTCATCGGTATCAACCGGCTCAAGCGAAATGGATGAGTAGTGAAATTACGGATGAGTAACGGATGAAATTACAAGTTTACTAGTAGTAACAAAGACGCCAACAAGCGATGCATTTTTGATACAGAATCGACGATGGTATAGAACAGTTATTCAACAAGCCATGAACATTAATGTCTCAGCAACAGAAAAGAACTGCAGTTCAGTGCGAAAAAATTTGGTAGAGCCAACAAGGGAATGTATCAATCTACGAGTATAATAAGGATTGAACTTCATATATTTTTCCTGTTAATGAAGATTTTGTATATTAAACGACTTGATCATTCCCATTTATGAGTGTCTGTGAGTGGGCAGATTAAAACTGGGAGAGATACTCTCCCAAACGCAGATTTCAGGGCGAAATTCTCATCGGGAGTAATGTTGGAGTAAACTGAAATTACTTTGAAAACTGGCGACCTGAAATCACTTATCGAATCAAGCTAATTATGACTAATCGTGAGAAAATGGTCAGTTAAAAGAATTGAACTGCATTCTAGTACGCCTATTTAATAAAAACATAACTCACTCAATCAACATTCCCAGAATCGACCCTTGTTGAGTAGCTAAACGAGCACTCATTACAGAGTAATTATCACATTTCTGATCACTTGATGCAGTAGCCATATCTCTGAAGCTTCAACAAAAATTAAATTCCCAAATAAAAGGGTCACTCTTTGCATGCCAGCATGCAACATTATCTTCCAAATTCACTTGAAAGTTCTGGAATAAAGGCTTAACCACTATCACTTCCACATCCCATGAGACATTCAACTTGGATATGTACAGACGGATATGTACGAAAAAAGTAGTTAGATATTTGGTTACTGCATTAATGAATTAATAAACAATTGATTGTCCCTCACCTCAAGATCGGCACAACGCATCGACCACCGGTTTGATCACATACTTCGGTACCACTCATCTGATTCGAAAGAAATTTTATGAGGTCACTGACATTACAACCCTGGAGTTGCATTTTTCTAAGAACTATAAACTATCGAAAGCATTAATGTAGCAAGCTATCCTGGAAATAACAAAAATGCAACCTTTTCTACACTGAAGTGCCATCGGCAACTAGCTGTATAATTTATTTTGTAATTCATTGTTTGCTTATACGAATGCGTGCAAAGTCCATTGGCATCTAAAACTGCAATTAATTTATCAAATAAATGCTGAAAAATTATACTATAAAACTGTTCGTGAAATATTACAAGAAGAATTTCAAAAAAACTATAAAGGATATCGAACAATAAACAGTCGTTCACATTCTAACGAGAAGCATCATTACAACCCTCATCCATGAGTGATTGAAATGTGAAAGACCTAAAATGGACTGATTACCTGGTCTTAAGAGTGACAGTTGACCATTGGTGCGTACTTCGTCACCATAAACATAACCATTGATGGTTCCCTTTTCGAACATTGTTGCAGCTTCCAATAAACCTCCCTCTTCATCCTATAACATGTTAGCTAATTCGACAAGGAAACCATGGATTAGTTAATAAGTGTTTCTCGATTTTTTATTACAAAAACAGTAAAATGCAATGAGAATTGACGACGGATTAACTAGCAGATGCGTGAAATTAAATGCTTGGAATATATCCTGGTTACTTTCGAGAATTGGCTTTCACAGGATTCGATTAGTAACCGCATTCTTTCTCAGATAAATTGCACTAGTTTCGAGAATGCTTTGGTGCGGGAAAAAAGAAACAGAACAATGACTTACAACTTGCTGCTTTATCGTACAGTTTGGATCATTCCTGAAATCCATACATCAAGAATATTACAGAAATCCGCTTCTACATATTTATATTGTTCTCAACTTATACGGTTCTCCATTAGTACAAGGAGACCGTAGTATAATTTTTGCACATTTCTACATGTACCTATTCATGTACCATTTGCATGTACCTATTCGCCTGAAGAGTTCGGAATGCTGTACATTAATAAATTACATCGCCTTTGTCAATGTTCGAGGTAAGAGAGATGTCAAGCAAATAATGAAAGTACAAACGTGGTTGGAATCAGGCGGTAAAAACTTATATACGACCCGAAGAAAATAAATAAATTTTGGAATGAATTCAATGAGAAATTTCGACGCTTAGAGATTGAGAGGCAGATATTGAGTGTTTACAATTCACTAATAAAAGAGAAGAAAAAACATACTTTGGACAAATCACTCCACATTTCAAACTGGCAGAAGTTAAATTCGAACAATCAGCTCTTCTGGAAAAAAGAAATCTTTTTCACTTCATCTTGCCAAATTTTTCCCCTCGTTTACTGGAAAAATTAGCTTCTTCCTAACATTTGAGTTGTGAGTCAAAACTAGGTTAGTGGTTTGTCAAAAACAAAACCATGGCTCGAAAATCCGATAAGTCAAGCACTTCTAGGTCAAAAATAGAAAAATACAAAAAGTTTACTTCTAGGTCAAAAATAGAAAAATACAAAAACAGTTCAATTTAGACAGGAGAAGTTAGAGAAGCTAAAACACTCATCATAACCTAAATCGAATAATTTATTCAACAATTAGTCTTTAAAAGTTTACTTAATAGCAAAATGCAAAAGTGTTGAAAATGGTACAAATCGATTCGACTCTGGCCTAACACGGTTCAGGACATTATTATTCGGGCCATCATGGATATAAATTGCCCCGAAAAAATTTGGATAACCACCGATAACATCCAATACTCGTAACCTGCAAATAGGAAAAAAAAAGGAATTGATTTTAAGTATTTTGATTTTTTTTAAAGTATCTAAGCAGTTAATATATTTTCATTAGAACTGGTAACTGAAGACAGGATGTTTACCAAAGAAAGCATTTGAAAAAATCATTTCGACAATGAACCCATTCCTAAGCAAAATCAATATTTTGGCATATGAAATATCAGGGAATTTATCTGGTTAATGATTTCCCTTAACACTTACCTGCGAATGTTATCACTCGGGAAGTCCAGGATACTTGTACATGGCCTACAAATGAGAATCAACAGAATATTATAATGAAACAAGTTCAACATATTGGTTCAAATGACAGTGTCACATAATGCCGGTAACGTTGTCATGGTGAATGTTCAACTGGAAGCCACCCGATTATGGATTGAAATTGGTACAAATGAGTGTGGATATTTCATTCCGCATAATAAATAGAGTAATAATAAATTGAAATTTGAAAATTGTATTTGAAATTTCGAGCGAAAAAAACAAAATAGCATTACCTGTTATTTCAACAGCTGAAACTTATAGTGAACAGATAAAACAAAGTAGAAAAAGTAGAAGATTGATAATGCTGACAAATGGGTATGGTTATTTTATTCCGCAGTTGATTATAAATAGAAATTTCTTCTTTCTTAGCGCTGAGAAATAGTTCAAACTACTTAAATGCCTGCAGCTATCACAACATCAATTATCAACCTTTGTTTTCGAAACAAATCTTAAGTTTTATTTTCAAAATTGAAGTTTGCTGAAAATTAGATTAATAATACCTTTAGATTAATAATACATTAATCTGCCACCTTCATCAGCTAACCAAAAAAACCAGAAAAATTCAAAAATTGAATTATTTCCAGGATAATAGTTTTTCAAACCGTCCTGGCCGGAGTATTTACTGTTGTCACTTAAAGAGACTTTAATTTGCGGCGGGTTGTCCTGGAAGAAAATGCTAGGGAGGAGCGAGGGGATTTAAACTTGGCGCCTGGATTTTTCGTACTACAGTTTACTTATACTGGCACGTGGGGTGCGCGTAAATAGCTTATATTATAAGCCTAAGAGCACGTGGTTATAAATTAAGAAGAGCTGGATGGCTTATCATTATTGAAATGTTACCTTGTGTATTCCATTTCTTCCCCTTATCATTCCTCCCAAATAATCGTTTATAACTCATATGTAATCTACAAAAGGAAACAAAATTATTCCGGGAAGAATGCATGGACAAATTGAGTAATGCATAGACTAGGACATTGGTTTCTGAAGAAGGGGAAAGTTAGATTCCAACTTTCTAAAAATATTAGGATTTATAAAATGGCATACTATTAAATTGTGATTGTTTGCATGCGCAGCTTTTCGCAGCTATCGTGCAACGACATATAGAAGGTAGTGCATTTGAAAAAACGAAAAGGGCCGTTGCGAATTATGAACAGTAATGCTGCAGAAAATTCAGTCATGATAACAGCTATTAATTGACGGGAGTATTTTTTTTCTCATTTAGAAAAGAATTAAATTAACATTTCTGCACACTATTTTTTTCTGTTCAATGTGAAACTTGTGATATTAGTCGCGAATATTTTCACACCCTACCAAGATTTATGACACAGGTTTTACTACCATACTTTGACTTTTTCCTTCTCAAAATTTTATATCTTCCTTTGAAGATAATATTTTCTCGTCATGTGTCTCGTACATATATGTTATAGTTAAGGTTGTAGGTAGGTGCTTTGACCTGTTGTTTTCGTGATTCCTGCAACAATTAACGTAAATTCTAATTTATTATAGCAATATTTGAAGGGGTAACAAATGGAAGTTAGAACTGATCATGCAATCTTTTATTGAGAAAAGCAAGCCAATCTTGCAAAAAGCGGTTGCCCTCGATCGAGACAATAAAAAAGATGAAGCGGTGGAGAATTATGCGGAGGGTATCACTTTATTGCTTGGAGCTATGTCATGTGAGTTATTTTTCTCTCATTAGTAGGCCGATTGAATTGATACTTTTGTTTTTGATTTCTGGAGAAAGACAATGACATTTCATTAGTTTTGTCTAGGATGTAATGACTAATATGGATATTGCGATCTGAATACCAGTTTTGAAATTGATCTTACTTTTTAAAAATTTTATTGATATTGGCAAGTCATTAGTTTTATATTTGTGAAACGGAATGCTTTTATTTCATTTATCAGTTATTAATATGGCTAACAGAAAGCTTGGGTGGTACCGATCATTTTAGGTGATGACACGGTGGAAAGTACCAGAGAGGTTTTACGGGAAAAAATTTCAAAATATTTGGCTAGAGCAGAAATATTAAAAGGACAAATGAAGCCAGAAATACTCTCAGTGGAGCAGATAAATATCATGCATAACGATGTATAGTTTAACTTTGCTTGTAAATGCATTAGTTAAGCAGAAAGTTTTGCTGCTTTTATTTACGGGCATTGTCGAATTAAGTTTTCAGAAAAGCCACTAGACTCCCAGTATACATTTTTCAAGATTTCCATGATTGTGATATTTCAGTTTGTACATCAATAATTAATATTTGTATAATTAAGATTTATGTATTCATATTCAGTCTAGAATACATATTTCGCTATCAACTTTTGCTTTACGCCATTTGGAGCTTAACTGTTGCTTTTACTCAGTTACCGGGAAGAAAATTTATCTGTTGGATCATTGGTGTTTTTACTTAAGTTTGTCAGTAACAGGTTGTTGATCTTCAGACTGGTTTTGGATATGCAAGGATTTTCCAACGATGCGCGGACAATGATCTAACAGAAATCAATGTTCGAGATGCTTACATTATGCTGCCTTATCAAGTATGCTTAAACAGCCTCAGACGAAGAAGACAAGAAAATGAGGATAGGAAGTAAAAATCGTCTTTGGATTATTTTCATTATCAATTAAGGAATAGAAGCACCTCAATTTGAAAAGATTGAACGCTTATTTCAGGTTTTAAATTTCGTACGGTTCTGTGAATTGTTCGTCCTTCATGCACCAAATTTAAAAACGATACGTCTGCGGACGCATTATGATGCCAGAGCAGAAGGTTTATTGCAACAACTGAAAGACAGTTTAGCATGCCGTAACATCGAATTAGATGTTTGTTACGACGAGAATTTTCATGATCGAGAAATCAGGCAAGTTTTATTTGAAAGGCATATTCTCATATCGTAGATGTGTTTTCTTTTTTCATGTATTATTTTATTGATCAAAGATTGAGTTTATTTTTAGATTCAACAATGGTTGGATGGTGAAAATTGGACGTGGATTAAATTATTTTCAAAGTGTAGGGCATTGCGAAATTGGCTCCTGTGATTTGAACCTAAGGAAATGTTACGAGACAAGCATCGATATTTTTAAATTCAAACAGCCTCAGTAGTTTTTTTCATGTAAATCTGCATCCTGTGTTTAATTGTATTTTCCTTTTCGACAGCTTAAAGGAAAAATATATATCAAGAGAGAGGTAGGTTATGAAAGAAGGACGTGAGGACGGATATGCTATAGCAAGGGGAGTTACAGTTATACCGTGTTATATGAAGTTGTCTTAATGATCTTATTTTAAATGTATATTTGCCCTTATTTTGATTTGTTTTCACTTTGACCACTGGGGATTCATCGCCATATGCATCGCTGTACATTTTGTGAATTCAGAACATATAATTTTACATTGTTATTTTCTTAAACGCACGAAGCGGATCATTTTCAAGATAATTTTTGATTTCGGCCTAATATTAAGAGGATAAATAGGGTGCACCTTAAAATTGGTATAATCTTATGAGTAAAAGAATGTTAATAAATATTCTGGAATCTTTTGTTGATCTATTTATTCGTTTACGCCTGGTTAGTAGACCAAACCAATTTGTACTGCCTTGTTTTCTTTGTAATGTTGTGGATTTTTTTCTTTTTTTTTGCCGTTCAGTTTGGAGAATCGCTTATTCTTAAATGGTTTTGTAGAAAGTGAATATATTTGGGAGGGTTTTCAATATTTTTTTTATCCTTTGGCTTTGCATTGTGCATTAATTGCATTTGTTCCATCGGATCCAAAAATTTCATCTTGTTCGATTTTTAGGCCTAAGCTGCATAATGTTATCTGAGAAGAAACAAAAGAGTGCAGCTGTACGTGGTGTAAGTTTAATTGTCACACAATGAATTAGTAAATAAATTGTTACGATATCATGAAGCTGAAAAGGAGCTTTAAATAAAATGTCGAATTGAAATTTGCCATCAGCATGCAATTGAAGGTTTTACTGACAGTATCAGCTGTTGGTTTAAATGCATTTGGAATGCGTAAGAGACAGGCAGTTGTCATATGAATTTTGCCTGAACTAAATTACTGGAGAGGGAGTACGATTACAAAAAGCACATTTCCAAGTGATGGAAATTGGTAGGTAATAGTAGGAAGGCTAAGTAATTCAGACCTCCTGGGACGGGACGTTATCTTAAATTAATTTCAGCTTGATGCATACAAAACAAATTTAATGAAACAAGCTGAAAAAATTGTGTTAGAAGAATTCCCGAAAAAAGTACTCGAATTCAATAATCTACTTGAGGTTGGTTTGTTTCTAGTGTACTTGTTATTTGTCTTTGAAATTTTTGAAATAATTTCCTATGAAGGCACACTTGTTCATTAGTAGATTTTGACAAATGCTGGAAATCATTTTTTGTATCATTTGGTTTTATTTGCCAAACAAGTGTTTTTTTCTTTTTTGACCTCAGATATTTCAATATTTTGTAAGCATTTATTCATTACTACCTCATTTTAACACCTATTTAAAATGGTTATTTTTTTTCTTTTTTTTTTAGGACGAGCGGTTCTCCTATGAGCGGTTGCCAGAACTCTTACCGAATATTGACTTAGGAATTCCATACTCGGAACAACTAATAGAATATGCGGTAGTTACTAAATTTGAAATTATTGTTGCTGTATTGCTGAAAGGCTTTTTTTGGATTTTATTAGGTCCATTAAAATGATATTTGCAGAATGATAGAAACTCTACTGAACATGAAAATGATGATGGGATTCTGAAAAAAAAGCGGAAAATTGATCATGCTAGTGTTCAACCACTTCATGGTATCGTTTATTTGTATTATGTACATTTTATTGATACAATCACTGCTTTTAACGCAACATCCGAAAATGGGTGCAGATATTAGTTTTTTTTTTTTTTTAGAAACTTTATATGTTAGCACCGTTTAAGTCACGATTAAAGGATTATCCAGAATTGACCAGCCATTCAGTATGGCTAGGTGAACCTATCGTTAAAATCAGTGATTTTTAAAATTAGTAATGACAGGAGTTATCTAAACTACGAACATTGCTGTATTATTATCTAATAAGGGGATACACGTTTTCAGGCACTTCAGTCTATGGTTTTATAAATGGGACGGTTAAATGTAACGAAAAGCTTGCTGGTCTCACCGATATCACACGGCCTTTACTTCGTGATTCGGTTGAAGCGGTCAACAAGGTTTGCTTTAGATTTGTATTTCTACTGTAACAAAAAGGAAAAGTTTCAGGTTTCCAATCAATTTGATCTTTTACTATTCTGCTATCAGACAGCATTGTAATTTGGAAACTTTTATAAACTCTACTGAGTTGGCACTTTTCAGGTAAAAATGTGGATTTTGTTTTTGATTCCACGTATTGAAGATGGTAACAACTTTGGGGTTTCCATACAGGAAGAAGCTCTGAGTGAGGTCCTCTTAGAATTTTAATTTCTGAAATCCAAACGTACTTTTTCTTTTATTTCATCGTCATTCATTGTACTGTGTGATAAATTTTGAATTATTTTATTATATTCTAAAGTTTAAGGCCCGTCAAAATATACCTGAAACTTGAACATAATTGAAGTTGCTATTTCTCAGGTGCGTACTGTCGAGGGTGAAGCAGCATCATTTCTTGATCAAATGTCACGATATTTCGTTAGCCGTGCTCGTTTGGTAACTAAAGTAGCCAAGTATCCGCATGTTGTAAGTTATGTTTGAGTATTTATATCTGAAATTCCAAGGTTTTGCTTTACAGTAGTTATGTGTGCATTGTGCAACTTTAATATGCCAGCTGTCTAAAATGATATTTGGTGCTTATTTTTATTCGATTTCATGTTCCCCAGGGAAAAAATCCATAAAATTCTGTTCAGGAAGATTACCGTCGAGCAATCCTGGATATGGATGAGAAGCAGTTCATCAATATCCGTCTTGTGTTAACTGAAATGCGCAATCACTTTGCTACACTACATGATATGATTACGAAGAATTTCGAGAAAATCAAAATGCCACGAAGTAATAATTCTGAGCATATGTATTAATTAGAAAATTTTTGAATTATTTTTCCTTTCTGATTTTTGAATTATTGTTCGTATGCAATGTTCTATTGAAATTTGTATGAAAAGCGATCAGTATTATTATTCATCCTGAAGAATTCTATAGGGTTAAAATAACATCGTTTTTTACGTGGCGTTTTATTTCTCACTCTGATGTTGAGATAAATACAAACTAAAAAATAAATGTTCTTTTTAGTGCATAACTTCGATTTCTTCAAATCCGAATTTATCATCTGGAAATGTTTATTTTCATATGACTTTGTGCCTATTTCAGATTAGGTTAGATGCAGCTTAGAGAATTTGTAACCAAACTGTTACTTCGGATTTTCATGATTCAGAACTTATGGCAGGAACAAGTTGAGGGCTTTAAACTTGTGGTAAATGTGCTATAAGATTTTCTTTGTTATAATTATAATATTATGGCGGAGTAGTTTGTGATTTCTTTTTGATAGTCAACAACGGTTACCACAGCTGCTTAAAAGATAGTTCAAATATTTCGAATTACTTTCTTTTTCCTTCAAACGATTTCTTTTTTTTTTCATTTAAATTCAGGTCCTTCATGAAATGCAAGGAGAAAAATTAAAAGGATTGCCAATGTTATTCAGCTGAATTTTGAATAAATAGAAAATTTTCTGATTGAAGTTAACGCCATATCACATTTTCTTTTTTTTTTTAAAAAAAAAGAAATGTGTACTGTTTAAAATCAAATGTTTTTGGATTATCGCTGAAAAATTAAAGTAGTCTATACTTATGTCAAAAAGTTGATATGTTTTATTTGCATTATTGCTCTCATCATTACCAATATTACACAATGAACGGATTTTTTTTATTAGTTTTAGTTTAATAATTTGACAGGTCAAAGCAGTTTAAAATGAATGAGTTTAGTTTAATAGTTTGACAAAGTCAATCATTCTCATTCATGCTATGTCTAACATTATTATTACAGATATAATTATGAGATTTTGTTATGCTTAATGGTACTTGAATACGTGAACAATGGTATCACGTGACGTTAAATACAATTTAAGAATAAATGGGAAGATTTTTTTTGTTATGTAATGATAGAAATGAATGGAGATAAATTCTGCTAAAATAGATGATGCATAATAAATCATCCATTCTGTGATTCAAACACTTCTGTCTCTTTCTTTTTTGATGACGATTCATTTTCTTCCCTTCATCGTTTTATTTATCCAACATCTATGTCAACATCTGTTTTGGCTACAAAATCATTATTGCTTAGGCAAAGATGCTTCTAAACTGATATCTTTCAGTATTATCAATGATTTAACAAAGGGGTACAAAATTTGTGGTACAAATTCAATTGTTTTCAATTTTACTCTTAAATAATGATTTTAATTATCATTAACAATATTAATGTAGCTAATATTATCAATATCAATTGTCTTTTTTCTTCCTTTTACCCTTAAAACATATCGTTAAATTGGCATTTAAAAAGTTTGCTGTTTAAATTTTAAAACAAAATTTTTAAATGCCAATTTTTTTTTTTTCTAAACCGATAACACAGACGGAAAAATGGACGAAGTACTTTTCGAAGAACAGCAAATACAATCAGACAATAATAAAAAACAAAGAGATAAAAGTGAATTTCAGGAGAGAGGGAGAAGGAATTATGCAAAAAGTGGAACACTATCAGGTACTATTTGTTAAGACTAATTAGTCCTACTATAGGTTATGCATAAAAATTTTACATTTTCAAAATTCGGTTCTCTTAAAAGTAAATGTAACTCTATCAGCAAGGTAAGTATTCTTTTAAAATTAAATATACTGTAATTGTTACATTATTGGGAATTTGTTTTTGTGAAAACACTTCAAATATGTAAAATATTCAAATGAGAAAAACATTTCAAAATGTATTAAAATTTGAAAAAATAAAATGAAATTATAATTTTGAGATTTATTGACTGTCTTTAAATTCCATTCAAATTTTACTCAGATTTGATTTTTGAAAATTCAAAAAAATATTAAAAATATTATGAAAATGTTAAAATATTATGCTTGGATAAATTTGTTAAACAAAAAAAAAGAAAAAAAAAGAAAAAAGAAAAATTCGTTGCTTTACCAGTTGCTATGACAAATTCGCTCAGAATGTTCGGCGCAAAAAGGTTAGAGGATAAGAAAATAAAGATTATGGGAAAGAAATAGGAAGAAGGAAGATAAGTAAGAAAAAAATGGAAAGATATTAAAATAAGAGTATATCGTAAAGAGTTAAAGTAACAGAATAAAATGCATTACATTTTGTCCTTTTGTTAAATATATTCAAAAAAAAAAAAATTTTTTTTCTAAAAAGCAAAAAAAGAAAAAAAATTGATGAAAATAAAAGATTGTGAAAATTTTACCTTTTAATATGAATGAATTTGAATAATAATTCAATGTTAATATTAATTATATCAATGAAACATTCATTCAAATTGATCAATGAATTGTATGAAATGATCAATTCCGATCGATTCATTCTATCTCTTCTTCTCTCTCTCTCTCTCTCTTATTCTCTCTCTTTCTTTCTTCTTTTCTCATTAATAATGTTACAAAAAATAGAGAAAGTTTTGTTGTTTTTTTTTTTAGTTTTTTTTGTTTACGATATAAAAAAAAAGATTTGTTTATATTGGAAGCTTGTCATACAGTTAGCTCTAATGACCAATTAATGCTTAAAATTTTTTAAAAAGCAAAAATGCATGAATAAAATGCACGTTCATGCATACAGTGCATGCAAACGCATACGCATGCATACGTTTACAGTGCATGCTATTTTGCATAAGATGTAAAAAAAAGAAAAAAAAAGTTGCAAAAATGACATTATCAATTATGCATGCTTTTTCTTTGCGTAGAAAGGATGAAAAATGTTTGCTATTGATTGATGATATACGATTTCTCGGTCTCTTTTTCTGGCATTTCTTTCTCGCATTTAAATTTCCCGTAAATTTCCTGATAGATATGAAAAGCAGAAATGAATGGATGGATGATCGAATATCCAATTTTCATCATTAAAGTTTAAGTTTTCTTTTTTTTTTCCAAAAAATATAATTTTAATTGAACCAATTCAAGTAATTTTTTTTTTTTTGAAAACAAATTTGAAAATATAATCTAACTGGTGAAATGTAAAATCGCCTGCCTTTTTTAGATTTGCAAAATACTTGTTTTATTTAAAAAGAAAAAAAAAAAGGTTAATTATGACTATGACACCTTACAGACATATTGAAATTGATCTCTTTAATTCTTCAGCCAAGTTCATCTCTTACTGTTGCTGTCAATTAAAACTTTTCTGTTTAAATGTGTCACCTACAATTAACAATAGCAATGCTAACATAGCTAATATTGTGCTTGAAGTCATCCATGCATTTCTTTTGCTTTTATATTTTTGTCACATTTTGCAAAGTTTCATTTTAAAATTTCCATTTGCTTTAATTAAAACAACAAGATATTTTTATTCAACAAACATATATTAACGGAATTCAACATGATCATTGATTGATCAATTGATTAATTAATTAATTAATTAATTGATTGATTGATTGATCATTGGAGTTATTATTTTTGAAATGATTATTTTAGCATATTTTATACCTGAATAATTATTTATGTATCCATCAATGCTTGCTTAACCAACTAATTGTTATCAGAGTGAGAAGAAATGAGAAGTAGAGAAGTACGCTTGCACTAAAAACTTTTTCATATCATCTATTTATTTCATAACACTTATCATTTAGCAAACATTTCATCATTTCTTTCTTATCATTTTAGCCGTTTGTTTATTTACCAAATTTCATAGTTTCTCAATAATTTTAATACTTTTTCCAGTATCAATTTATTGATTCTTATCAATACTTTACAGCATTATCATTAATGAATCATCCATACATTATTATCACTTTATCATGTAATATTCACTGTTATCATCAAATACTTTAAAGTAAAGTAAAGTTTTAATTTCCAATTCCATTTCCTGAATAGATTATTGTTATGCAGTATCAATTTATTGATTGTTATCAATACTTTATAGCATTATCATTAGTGAATCATCCATACGCTATTATCATTTTATCATGTAATATTCACTGTTATCATCAAATACTTTAAAGTAAAGTAAAGTTTTAATTTCTAATCCTATTTCCTGAATGGATTATTGTTATGTTTATAGTTGGAAGTGTTGATAATACTTAATGCTTCAAAATATTTAATCGATCTTTTTTCTAACCTTTTTCTAGGTAATTAACTTTTTTCTAGAAAATACATAATATCTGAATACAACATTCGATTTGAAAATTATATGAATTAAATGTAATTAATCCTTTTTCTATGCATGATATCAAAGTATAAATTTAGTAAGTATCAATGTGTCACTTTTTGACCTCTGTACTCTTCTTGACCTCTGGCTAATTCAGTTATTCGAAAGATTCCCGTAGTTCATCAGGTTAAAATCAAGAAAAATGCAGTAGAATCGTTGTTATAACTAATAAATTAAGATTCAGCTTCCTTATGATACTGTAATTATTAGAGATGGATTCTCTCTTTTCGGTAGAATCTAATAATAAATGGAAATCATAAATACAGGTCAAGAATCTTAAGAAAATATTCTCGGGAATGGAAATAATATTGATTTTTTGACGAGATCATTGTTTTAATTACAATAAAAATATCATTTAATCTAATCATACTCATTCCAGATCGAATCTGTATTGCTTACATCAGTCTAACGATTACCATATGCAAGAAAGTATTAACATTCAGGAAATCCGGATAAACTTTATACCAACCTGAACCATTCCAATAAAATGATATCAACATTGTCTAAATTAAATTTAAAAAGAATATTATATTAAAGGGATGGTTTGGTATTTCTTTTACAATCAAAAATATTGTAATTTTTTAACAAACCATCAAATATATCTATCATTTATTTCAAATTTTTTCGAAACTTTTGATAAAAATATAATTTTAAAATTATTATTTCACCGAAATAATTCTATCATCAACGAAATTAGATGTAATATTTAAAATGATCAATTTATAATTACCGTATCCTTTTTGTTGGTATATATTGATTTATCAGAATCTCAAATGATATCAAAAAAAGAAAAACGATCATTTCAAAGATTTATATAATCATATATAATGTCATAGAGATTCGTAAATTTTTTTTTTTTTTAAAAGAAAATTTAAAATAAGTTAAATTTTTGATATGCATGTATTATTAATAAATAATATTATAGCAAAAATTTTGATACAAATCCACAATATTTAATATTATCTTCTTCTCAAACTATATTTTATCAATTTTAATTATTAATTTCTTCTTAAATTCAAATTTAAATTTTAGCAAAAAAAAATCTTTCAAGGAAAAATTTTTTAGTTTTAATCTAAAATTGGAAAAGAAAATTTTGTTCCATTAATGTTCCATTTCACATTGGTGAAAAAGCATATTGACGAAATAGCTATCGATGATAATGGCATTTTATTTGATAATAAATCGAATGGAATATTCATTCATCATATTGATTCTAACAAATTTTGTTTCGTATTTTTAACGCCTTACTAATCAGTCTTTTCATTTTTATTTTAATTTTTTAAAAAAAAAAAATTTCAACATTCCTCTTATAAATTTTAAAAAGCCATTTTTTTTTTAAAAAAAAAAATCTTTTCTA